CGGATGCAGAAATAAATGCTCTAAACTATTTGAGTTATAAATTCCTTGAAGATCATGTATTATAATAGGGGTATAATACTCCCCATTTTTAGAGTATAGTATTAATAAATATTTACTTATATTATAACACGTGCACGAGTTATATCATATGGCCACACTTGAGTACCACACTATAATTACTCATCAATTTGGATTGCACATTCAGATAAGAAATTGTTTAGTCAATTATTCAAGTTAATAATGTAAAACACAAAATACGAGTGCATTTTGTTAGGAACTGTGAATCAAATACAATTGCCCTGCATCTAGGAATGGTCTACTTATTCCTAAATAAAGGGATGATAACAATAAAAAGGTAAGAAGTGTGACACAAGGCTAAAGGTTGAACGCTAACCACCACCTCTCACCCAAGGCCACACACCACTTTCACATGTAAGTGACTGTCTATATATAAGGTGTAGTGCAGCTCTCCTTAACCTTGCATGGAAGCCTTTTGAGATCAAACTCGACACCTGAATGAGTCCATGGGCACGATCACACTTAGGACAACATCGATGCAATTCGGGATGAGCTAAAGGGCATGGCCCCAACATTGCTCTTATTTTTTTCCTTACCAATCTGTGAAATACTCACACCTAAGCCGTACACTGCGGATAACAAGAAACAATATAGAGCCTCAAAGTCATTTTGATTTCCAAACACCCTTCTTTTGCCATCTGACAATTTCACAGAATAAGCACTTGATACAAAGATATTCTACTGTAATCTAATCACCAATACGGGGAGTGGGATTCGAACTCTAGTACAGAGTGGGGAGCACATCCGCTCTAGCCAACTTGGCTAAGCCCATGTATGCTCACAAAATAAACACTTCAACAAGTAATCAAACCTCTTACAAGCTACAACAACAAACACCAGCAACAATGGAACAGGAGACAGATCATACAGCAGTAAAAAATCTCCTCGGATATCTATTTTCTACAAAAATTTCCTCGGAATCTATTTTCTAATTAAATATGGTTAAGGATAACAAAATGGTTGTGACTAGTAAGGTCATCCACTGGCTAAGATAGGTCGGATAAAGGAAATCTGAAAGAGAAGTGCGAAGTTGAACAGAAAACCTGCAATTATCCACTGACGGATCAACGGTTGTGATTAAACCCAAGCCCCCAAAGTTACAGCTATCTGCACTCTGATTATGCTGCTGATAGTAGCTATTAAACGCATACGATATATTTCCAGGCCAGCTGATATTGGAACAAGACCCACCAGGAGACAGTGCAGTGCAATCGGCAAGTGAACATGCCTCTAAAGAACTTGCAGTTACATTGGATAAGTCCTTATTGTTGTTCACTACACACCACTTCGAAGGAAGGTACTCAACATTCTGCGCATCCACGAGGTTTTTTGAACCTTGGATAAAGTCAAAATGGTACTTGGCTTGACCATCAAAAGTGAACACACCCCAGTGTCTTTCAAAATTCCCAGTGCTTATGCTTCTTTGATCCTCATCTAAGAGGCTAAAAATGTATGTTTCAGATGGAGGATCCCGAGGTCTAAGTGGGGTACCCGATTTGCTATGAAGGTGCTCCATCAGGCCTTTCATGAAGGTCTCTGCAGTTGATGAGGTTGCGTTTGCTGCTCCATCTGTAGGCCAACCAATCTGCGACACAACAATTTCCATTTTAGGAAATCCTACTGTTGACAATGCAGTAACCAAGATGTCGTAGCTCAAGTCAAAGCTGTTTTTGTATGTTCTGCGGCTGTCATTATGATGTTTTGCATTGGCTTTAAATAGAGCGAAGTCGAGGGAAATGTTTTTGTTCTGGTGGAGACTTAAGAACGGAGAAATGGTCGCAAAGAATGGTGAACTGTGCTTGCTGAGAAACGTTAGGAGTTCAATCATGGTTCTGTTGAGATCAGCCCGAAAATGTCCTTTCGAAGGATGGCCAGACTCTGACAGGAAGGAATCAAAACTGCAAGGAACAACTACTTTCACTTTGCTCTCCAATTTTGCTCGGGCCAAAGCTATATGGATATTCATTGCTGCTCCAATGACAAAGGGGTGAAATTGCTCACCATAACTCTGGAGAAATGGCTCATCTCCAACAGCAACATACCTGAAAAATAGTCTAGTTAGCAACCAGAATATACTTAACAAAAATGACAATATTGTGAATGAGCAAATTCCATTTGACTCCAATTAGAATAAAAAACAAATGTTTAGTAGTTGCTTTAAGAGGCTAAACAGTAATGACCCATGAAATCCCTGCTACAAAAATTTATTTGTCACTTTGTCCTTGCATTGCTGACTAAACCTAAAAGGGAGAAAGAGAGCATCTGCCATATCCTGCAAAGCTTTCTTCTTCTGTAAACAAAAAAGACTCACTTTAGAGTGTTTCCAGTCCTAATGCAATTAAGCACAGTTCCTGCTTAATTTTTTCTTGTAAATAGCTTTCCCGTAAGATCACAGGCAACAGGCTCCTCTCTAAAGTTCATTACACGTAGGAAAGTTTCATCTTGCTCTAGCCATAGCTCATGCCCTAAAAAGTGTGTTGCTTTATTGGTTTACTTGCCAAAAAAATAAAGCACGGATCAAATTCGAAGAGTTCAACTCCTGTAGCCATCAGCGGATTTCCGCTGCTAGCATTCAGACACAAACACCAACACCTAGTATTTTCATGCTTCCACCATGAAAAACACACAAATTATCTTCAAATTCCCTACATAAATTAAATTATATTCTTCTTTATTCTTAAGGAACCCCCCACCATAATTAGTTCACTTGACACCAAAGATAAACCATGACACAATGTTTACGCAAGTACTCTCAAAAACATCAAGACGAATATTTCGTCATGGCCTCCGCCTGTTTAAGGTTGTTTAAATAGAAAAGAAAGTAAACTGAGCTCAATAGCGCAGAAGTCCCAGCACCAAGAGCAACGAAAGTTTGATTGACAAATACGATTTTTTTACCTCTTATGTTCTCAGAAATTGCAGCACAAAGCAAATAAAAGCTTCAAAAAGATATATTCTTTCTAATGTTTAATACAGAAATAAATGTACTTGAGCAACTGGGCATTAATAATAATCAAGTACGGTCATAGTAAACACACTATCTATGGCCCAAGATCAAAAAAATGCAGCATCTAATTCAAAAACCCATCCGAAAGAGGCAAAGAACTTACTCAATTTTAACGCCACTGCCACCATTGGAGACGTAGCGAGTGACATTGTCATGAACCCAACTCTCAGCAGCCTTCTTAGAAGAATTCAAGGTTCTAAGCAAGGCATTAGGAATGCCCACAGTGATAACAAGATTGGACCCAGAAAGCGCTTCTAAGACACCTGGGTCGGCGTCGAGTAGCTTGACCTTGGTCACATTGTTAGACTTCAACAGCTCCACCACCTTGGTCGGCGGTAATGGGTGCGAGGCCGTCGTGCCCCAGTTCACGCCTACGGCTCCGCCGCCATAGGCCATCGTCGCCAGAAGGAAGACGACGACTGTGCAGAGATGTGGAGGCATTTCTGGGTTTTGCTTTTACTTGTTAAAGGCTGAAGCTTGATGCTGAAAAATTAATAAAGACACGCGAATTTGGTTGGGGGTTTTGGCAGCTAGTGTTGTTTGTTTGTTTGATGGAGAATAATTTGGAGCCAGCCAGACATGTTCGAAAGGTAGAAGAAAGGCCCATTGGCCAGATCCATGCGTCGAATGCGTCCATATGGAGGGAAAGAATTGGTGGTCCGTTTTTAAGACCCATTCGAACATGGGATGGGACTTTTTATTCTTTTTGTTTTGACTTTTCAGTGTGCAAAATGCTGATTTAGAGATCATTTTGACGTTCAAATATTGTCGTGTCATTGTTGATCTTGAATTTTATAAAGAAAATATATTATTTCCACGATTAAAAATGCTATTTTCGGAGTATTTATTTTTATTTATTTTTACCTTGAAGAGGGAAATTTTTGAATTGGGATATCTTTCAGCAAAGCAAAGAGAATACCACTATATAATAGCTAGTTCATGTCCAAGTAATAGTTATACTTCAAGGTAAAATAAATTATCCTTATTTAAAATAACTTAAAATTATCCTTATTTATAATGAAATAATTATAAAATAAAGGGAAATAAGAGTCTACATCCAATAAAAATTCTTAATAGATAATGATAAACTCCATCAACAAAAAAATAGATAATGATAAAATAAACAATATAAAAAAATCTATTGACAAACGTTGATAAGTATTACAATCTGTTAAAAAGAAATATCTTTCTGATAAACCTTTAATATATTTTTAAAATTCTAATATGTTTTAAAAAAAATTGAAGTTTGAAGAAAATAAAAGAAAATAAGCAAAATATTAATCTCACCAATTTTTATAAAAAGCAAATTCTAAATTCTAAATATAAGCATCCAAGAAGAAGTGTAAGTTAAAAGTTTTGAAGGCAACAGGGGTTAGCCGAGTATAAAATGAAACTTGCAGGTCAATAATCTCAAGTTCGAATTCTAATAGCATCTTGATAATGTGTGTGAGAAATTCCCTCTCCGTTGTAGTTTAGACTTTCTATTGTGTTCAAAAATAAATTTTGAAATGTTAGATAACATTCGAGGTTTAAAAAAATATATTTAACGGTTTTCTTAGAGTGATATAACTATTTGAATTGAAGATTTTATTGATTTAAAGGATTAAAAAAAAGGAAACAAAGAGGGAAATATCCCAATAAATCAGGAGATGTAGATACAAAAATCACGGGCCAAACCGTTAGAAGAAACGCTTGCACAGCCGCCTTTTTCACGGGGACCGCGGCCCGTCACGCGATCATCCCCTTAATCAATCACAACCGTCCACGTGGGTCATCATCAACAGCCACGACTCTCCTGCCCGTCTACCTAATATCCCTGACCCGGTCCTCCAAATTTCTACCGTGCCACCACAATCTCCGTCAACACCATTCAACCTCTCACTCTCTCTTTCTCTCTCTCTCTCTATCTCTCTCTCTCTCTCTCTGCACAATGTCTTTAACTTTGAGCCCTTCTTCTTCATCTGTAACCCCACAAAAATCAAGCCTTGGTGGTCCAGCTTTAGCTAGACCCTCAAAGAGCAACAATTTTCTCAATGTGGGTGGTCGCAAAAATGGCAATGTGAGCTCAGGCCGGTTGGTAATATTTGCCAAAAATGAAGCTAATAACAGAGCCACCATGGAGGCAGTGTTCGAGCCCTTTGAGGAGGTCAAGAAGGAGCTCCTTCTAGTCCCCACTGCCCCTCATGCTTCGCTTGCTCGCCAAAAGTACTCTGACCAATCTGAAGCTGCCATCAATGAGCAGATCAAGTAAGTTTATCAATCTCCCATGTCCACATTTTTATAATTAACCCCAAAGTCTTCAACTTTATGGTCTTTTTCCATTCTTCATGTTCAGTAGAATTGTTCTTTTCCTAAAAGATTGATGCTTTCTTGTATGCCAATCAATATAAAGTTTTGATATTTTCTTGGTTCTGGGTTTTATTTATGTAGAGTTTATGTCAATTCTACTTTCGTTTTGGTTTTGGTGATTTGACAGATTAATGCAAAGAAAACAAGAAATACCCAAATATGATTTCCGTTTTTTCTTTCTTAAACTTCTACTTGCTTGCTTCTGTTTTAAAGTTCTGACCAATTTGATGCCGAACTTTTATTTTCTGAATTAGTGTGGAATACAATGTCTCCTATGTGTACCACGCCATGTATGCCTACTTTGACAGAGACAATGTTGCTCTCAAGGGCCTTGCCAAGTAATTTCTTTTTACACCCTTAATTTTCGTTTTCTTCCTAATTCTAGTGATAAATTTTGATTGATTGAATTGCTTAAGTTCATGATACCAATAACACACAGGTTTTTCAAAGAATCAAGTGAAGAAGAAAGGCAGCATGCTGAAATGCTTATGGACTACCAGGTGTCTGCAATATATATCATTTCATACATTCTCCTTTTGAGTTTCCAAACTCATTTTGTTATGAATTTTGATCTCTAAATCTTTTTTTCTTTTTCTTTTTTTTTCCTTTTCTGATGTTTTCTGATGTACCAGAACAAACGCGGAGGAAAAGTTAAGCTGCAGTCCATGCTAATGCCCTTCTCAGAGTTTGATCATGCTGAAAAGGGTGAGGCATTGCATGGTAAGTTCTTTATCATATTAGAGACAAATGCAACTTATTGATGTTCAAATTTAATTTTAAAATTTAGCAAGTCATATGATATTTTCTGCTACTTACTGTTCATGTGGCATTCAATTTTATCACTTATTATGTTTGCACCTTTTTTATTCAGCAATGGAGCTTGCGCTGGCCTTGGAAAAGTTGAACAATGAGAAACTTCTAAAATTACAGAGAGTAAATGGCTAGCTTTTCTGTTTCTTGATTGTGGTTTTAAAAATCTATATAATTTATTTCCGTTTTTGAAAACAAAGTACATATTTTGTCCCGAATCGGCTGCTTTATCCGATGATCACAGGTTTTCATACTAGTATTGTCTTCTGAAATATAGAATTCGTGATATTACAGATAGCCGATGAAAACAATGATGTGCATTTAGCGGATTATGTGGAAAGTGAATTCTTGACTGAGCAGGTATGCAACTTTTAATGCTCTTTTTGGTATATTTTCATTCTTGGTTAGATTTTGACAAAAACTGAAAAAATACTGCATTTGGGTCATTTCAGGTGGAAGCTATAAAGAAAATCTCAGAGTATGTAGCTCAGTTGAGAAGGATAGGCGCAGGACATGGTAATGGCTGACAACAAAACTGAGAGAACATGTTAAAATATGTAAAACATTTTTTTGGTGAATTCTGAAAAACGGTTTTGTTTTGCAGGTGTTTGGCACTTTGATCAGATGCTGCTCAATGATATTGCATGACAAAGAACAAGAATATGAGACATCGTTTCTTCGTTTTATGCCAAATGCTCTTAATGTTCTCTTTGTATTCTTAAATTCTGTTCACTGAGGGGATGTTTTTTTTTTAGGTGGTAATTGTTCAAATATTGAGCTAGAAATTTTTCCAAGTTAGGGTGTAGGCTGGATCTTTGTTTTGGTTTGATGATTAATCTGTTATTAGACAAAAATGCTGCCTGAGTTTTTTTTTTTGTATTTTGTTAGTGGTTCTATTTCTATTATGGGTCTCATGCGTTTCCATTAAAGACAGGATTAATAAGTGAAGTTGCTAATTAAGCAACCTATCTTAAGTGGGCCACCGTCGTATTATTATGAACTTTTGGTTCTCTCTCTCTTATAAAAAGGAGAAAATCAAACACATACCAAATGCTGCTCCAAGATAAAAGAATACACTTGGCAGTAATTCAAATTGCATAGCCATACTACGCCCCTTAAACATTTACGGTTTAAAAGCGACATGTGTGATTAAGTCACGAATCGATAGAGGATTAAAGTGACATTCTGAGTTTATGACCTCCTTAAATAAAATGAAGACTACGTGTCATATTATATGACAGTGTGAAATTTTAAATGTTACCGTTGAAGGAGTAACTTAAACACTTGAAGGCAAAAGATATTTGGTTGAGGAGGAGGTCAATGAGGGTAAGGATTTGCAGGTAAAATTGGAACTAGATTTTGGGGAAAGTGGCAGCTACAACTATCAGCAAGGTGAATGTAAACGTAGTGAATATTAATTAGGGAGACTTTGGAAAAACACAAAGGAGAGAGAAATTTTGTAAAATAAGCATCACAAACGTTCTAATCTAAACTCTATTCGCTACTTTTATCTTTTTTATTTTATTTTACCTTGTTGATTAAGATATAAATAGATTAGTATATCCTAATTAGCAATACCATCCGGTGTAGCTCATTAAATTATCTATGGTTGAGTTACCAGGTTCAACTCCCGGCTCCGCAATTGTCTTTTTGGCTTAATTCACTGCTTTTACCTTTTTTTATATTTCCCTCTAATTAACTTTTTTATATTACCTTTTTGGAAACATTTTTGCTCACAATTTAACTCGAGGGCATTATCACCACAATTCTTAATACTTAATAAATGTTCATAAAAATAATTATGGTTAACTTGTTACATGTCTCTCTCAAAGTTTACTTTCACTTCTTCTGCAATTCAGAGTATTTTACTTTCATTTTCAATAGCTTTTTATTAGCATTTGAAGAAATAAATAATGTTATTATCACACCATCCAACGTAGATCATTAAAATTATCTCAGAACATCCACAGTAGTCGCATGTAAAAGGATTTAAACCCTCTATCGCCGGAATTAGCTCCAATGTTCGCATGTAAATGGTTGTACATTTGCATTCTTAGGCTGAGATGCAAAAAAAGATGGAAGTTTACATTTTTTTTACGTTCCAGAAGCGAGTCCCACGGCTGATAAAGGAGGAGAGAGGAGAGAGAAAAGTAGCAAAGTTTCTGGAATTACGCACCCCATACTCGCGAATACAACTTCAGTTGCCCAACATAACTTAGTTCGGGCCCCACTTGTGGCTTAGTGCGCTTGATTTAATGGCATTTGAATTGGTGCTACAACAGATAAAACATCCTACGGCTCCCAAAATCATTAATCTAAAGGCCCAAACAATTTCTAAACAAACCCCAAAATCATCTAATTGATGCGAAAAAAGGCCTAATTTTTTTCCTTCTAATTTTCTTTATATAAGTACAACCTTTGTTCACAAAAATCACCACTCTTCATAACTTATCCGAATTCGGGGATGTAAAAGTGACTTTATACTCCCAAATTTACATCTCTCCACTGTAGATGCTCTTAGAGTTAAGTTACCCAGGTCATTGAAATCTTTTTAAAAAAATTCATAATTTACAATTCAGTTTTCCATTTTTCCCTTTCATTAGCCAGACAATCACAATATTAGCAGCAAATTCTAAATTCCTACTTCTAAAATAAGTTCAGAAGTACAGTGCCTCTATAAATTTAAATGAAATAAATAAATAAATGTTGGCAAGATGATTATTCCTTTTTATGGACGAGGATGAAATAAGTGTACATGGAGCTTTCGTGCATCAGAAAAATTGTTTCAATGAATATGAGAAAATAAAAGCTAAAAACAAGTAAAATTGCAAAGCCAAAATCATCCGAATAACATAAGCAGCAAGTCAATTAAAATTGGTCCGATACATATCTCATTCCAGCACAAAACATAATAACATTCAAGCCAGTATTGCAACTTAAATAATCCACAAAGCAGGGCCGCAAAATGAAAGAAAATAGAATCCTCTGAGCATAAGCTGAAAAGAGTCAAACTGCTTAACTGATTCAACTAAGTACCATCTACAACTATAGGAACAACAATCTATAGTTGCCACCCTATTGTTTAAGCAGTAGCAGCTGTTTGGGCGGCTGCTTGTCGCTTCTTTGCCTCCTCAAGGATGGTTAGCTTGATACCTTTGCCCTTGGGAAGAGACACCCAAGGCTTTGTACCCTTGCCAATGGTGAACACATTACCAAGCCGAGTAGCAAACTCGTGACCAGTGGCATCCTGAACGTGGATGGTCTCAAAGCTTCCCTTATGCTTCTCCCTGTTCTTAATGACTCCAACACGACCTCTGTTTCTTCCACCAGTCACCATGACAACATTTCCAACATCAAACTTAATGAAGTCGGTGATCTTGTTTGTCTCCAAGTCCAGCTTGATAGTGTCATTGGCCTTGATGAGGGGGTCAGGGTAGCGAATAGTTCTCCCATCATAAGTGTTAATATAGGGGATGCCCTTCTGCCCAAACTGCACTGACCGAACCTTGCATAGCTTGAACTGCTCAGGAAAATCATATTGCGGAGTCAGATATAGTTAATTATCTAACCAATAATATAAGATAAAACGGAACAAAATACATTTCAGAAAGTACTTCAAGTCACTAACATCATAAATATTGCAAAAGCATAATGAACATAAAGCCGAGCAAAACAAAATACAAGAAACAACTAACAGAAAGACAACAAACATAGTGTTGCAGCTCGTAGACTTCTTATTTGTACCACTCGTTTGCAGGAACACCAATGCACCTGATCAATACAATTGGTGGCAATTTAATCTATCACTAGAAATACAAAACTAACGCCCTCCAGACAACTAACGTGAATACTTCCATGGTCATATTAGCGTTTCTTCCTAGTAGAATCTCTGATATTTTCTTCCACATAAGATGACTGTAACAAATTTTTCTTTGACAAAAGTATATTTCTACACTTTAGCTATTAAACCAATTTCATAGATAGAACATGTTCAGTAGATTTGTTAATAAAACTGACATACAATGGCTATATATTAAATAAGTTAGAACATAATTACATTTCCGCAAAACTAAAGAGAGATGATATACAAGGACCAACCTTAGACTCCTCATCTCTAATTGAGTGGAGCCGGAACCGACCCTTGGTGTCATAAAGCAGACGGAAATTCTCATTTGTTTTTGGGATGGAAACAACATCTGTAGATATAACAACACAACAAAACTTTCAGCACATTTCCAAGGATCACACTTGTTTCATGTTATAGTTCTACTCTACCACTAAATATTATACAAAAATGAATCGGCAAAGTAACAAAATGGTACTAAATTAGTGAAAGTGTTGAACTTACCCATGAATCCAGAAGGGTAGGTCTTATCGGTCCTAACCTTGCCATCAACCAAAATATGACGCTGCATGAGAATGGAAACGACCTCACGGTATGTGAGAGCATACTTCAACCTGTTCCTCAGGATGAGGATCAGTGGAAGGCACTCCCTAGATTTGTGAGGCCCAGATGATGGCTTGGGAGCCTAGACAAAGATTTGAAGCAGAAAATTACGTTAAACCCAAATCAAAATGAGACCAAAAATGAAACTTCATTGAATTTTTTTCTTCTTTATTCATTTGGGGAGGGAGGGTTTACTTACAAAAGCACCCCCAAGCTTGTCGAGCATCCAATGCTTTGGGGCATTGAGCCTCTTCAGATGCTTCTTCAATCCTCTAGCCTGTAACACGAAGCATAAACCCACAGTTATACACACAACAGAGATCTTCAGAAGCATACGACAAAAAAGAAATACAGAGAGAGATAGAAGGAAGAGGGTATACCATTTTAGCAGAGGCAGATGCCGAAACCCTAGGTGGGAATGAGGAGGAGGTGCGATGCTGAAGAAGACAAGGACGAAGCGGCGGAGAGGCTAAGATTTATATGGGTGTATGAAATAAAGAGGGGGTTTTAGGGTTCGGGGAAGGAAAAGAGCGAGGATTCCGTGTGGTCGTGCTCAGACTGGGATGCAACGTGGACGGACCTGATTGGATGTGAAACATATTGGGAGGATAGAATAGTAGCATCCCATTTTTGGCCACATCCATTTGTAAATTGTTTTTATTAATTCATTTTTTTTAATACAAACAGTAATCTAAACTAGAGGAGACATGATTTTTTTATACATAAACTAAGATATCATAAGAGTTCAAACTTGAGATCACTTGTCTGCAAGTCAAGGCCCTTTTTTACCGGACTAGAACCTCTATTTTCTTATTAAGTTGAAGTCTATTGAACACTTGGCTTCTTTCTTATGTTTTGTGGGATGGATTTGTCTAAGGTTGGTGAGAAAATTCAGAGCTCCATTAGGTCTGTCAGATCGCCTGGCCTTCTACCTTTTGTGGGGTTGGGTCAAGGTCGAGGGGGTCGACGGCGAAGGGGTTACCGGTGCAGGTTTTTTTCTTCTTCATGTTTTTAATTTTTTTAATTTTATAATATTTTTAAAGAATTTTATGAAAGTAATGAAATTGAAATTTCATAGTCCATTTTGATACGGCACCTAAACTTTAAGGGGGTCGTTAGTCCTAAAAGTTAAAGAAGGAAAGTAAAAAAGAACTAAAAAGAGCTCAAACGAAAAAGAGAAAAACAAGTAGGTTCGTCCATTAAAATTTAGATGGAAGACACGGCACGCGGGTAAATTGCTTCCCAAGGCTCTTGCGCCCCAAGCCTCGTCAACAACTCCAAGGTTATATTTCCTTCCTACACTGGTTTCAGAGACTCACTTCTATGGCGGCGAAGCTTCAAACCCTTTTTAACTGATCCACTTCTGCGTTCCTCACCCTCTCTTTAACAGAATAGTATATGGGCTTTCGTTGATTTGGCTGCTAATTCAAGCTACAGCTATGGCCACGAATACGGAAAATGAATCTACAGTCTCAAGAGAAGTAGAGAAGCCTCCAATTGAGCCTATACGGTTGCCTTCGGTCGAGGAGATTCGAGGCCAAGACATTTGGAACAACTGTGCTGTGCGTAGTGTTGTCAGTGGAGTTATGGGTATGGCTAAAGTTTCCTTTCCCTCATTTTTTGGATTTTCTCACATGGGTTTGAGTTTTTCCCCTTATTCTATGTTTGTTTTCTGAGAAAACGTGGGAAAGTTATGTTCTTTTTTGTCTCTTGTCTCGAACTAGATTGTTGTGGGTTTCAGAATGCGTAAAAGTCACCTCTGTGTAGCCTTGTTCTTGTGCTAGATTTAGTCATTCACAAGTTTGTTAATACCTGGGGTTGTATTTATGAAAGGAAAAGAAAAAGAAACTAAATTTCATTGATTTCATCACCTCGCTTTCATTTCTCTGCATTTGAGTTGAGTGTTGTTGCTCAATTTAGCGAACTCTACCACAAGGTCATTACATTGGCGTTGTACTTTGATTTTGGCTGTGAAAAACAATTAATTTGAAGTTTTGCATGTATTTGTACAGAACTTAATAGTAGGTGCCACTGGAAATTTATTCTGTTTTATTCGCCATGTTGTTTCTTAAGGAACCAATGGTATAAATGTATAAGTATGTTGTTGTAGATGTGGCTGTATCTAGGCTATTAGGATCTTGAAATCTAATTATAGTAATGGCTAATTCTTTGAATGTTGTTGGAATTCTGTAGGTGGTGGGCTTGGATTGATGATGGGCTTGCTTCTTGGGGCGTTGGACACTCCTCTAATGCAAGACAAAATGACTGGCAGACAGCAGTTCATTTACCAAGCAAAGCAGATGGGCCAGAGGAGTTGGAGTTCTGCAAGAGCATTTGCAGTTATGGGGTTTGTTTTCTCAGCTGCTGAGTGTGTTGTTGAAAAGGTATTGCCGAATATGTTAAAATTCGTACTCTTAATTTTTATTTGATTGATGAGGTTTAATATCTTTGCTATGGGTGCTAATTCTGCATTATTGTTTCAGGCACGAGCTAAACATGACACAACAAATACAGTTGTTGCTGGATGTGTAACTGGAGGTGCACTGTCAGCAAAAGGTAACCTTTTCCCTGATCTGTTAACCCTTTGTCTTTGTTGAAAGTGTAATATGAATTTGTGATATGTTGTAATACAAAACTTTAAACCGACATATACAGATCTTACACTTCAGATGAAGTCCAAGGAATTTCGTAGTCTATATAATGATTATTGTCAACTCTGCATTCAGGCATATCACCATATGATTCTACCTGCACACTTGCTTTCCCTTTCTTCTCCTTTGGAAGGTGAAATTGAATAATCCCATCTTTTCTTTGGCAGAACATTTGTTAATTTGAGTTGCTGGTCTGAACTGATTTCATTTAGATGTAGGGATGGGGAAGACAAGTAAAATGCTATTTTGACAGAGCTGATGAATGGTGTTTGTAAAAAATTTAACATCTTCAAACATAAACGGATGAGACTTATGCCATTGAATACATCAATTATCTGGCTGGAGACCCCTAAGGGGTTAGTGTCTTGTTCTAGCTCTATCAGTCAAATGCAGATACACGCCCTCCCCCTCCCCCAAATGGTCCCACAGTCCGTTTTCCAATCAATATTGAGCTGATGTTTAACATTTACTTTCAGAAGCTACATGATTGCTTCTGTTCACGGAATTCGTTCATTAGTCAGCATGTTTATTTACAAGGGATTCTAGTAGTTAAATAATGTCATACATTATAGATGGATCCTTTGTTGTTTAACCATTTTATAATAAGTTACAATAATTTTAAAATAAGAGGTTGCATACCTTTATAATTTCTCTGGTATCATAGTTAGAATCTGAAGTTCACATCTATAACCAAATTCAGCTTCTTAATCCTGTTTTGTTGCTCCTTAAGATGCAAATAGAAAACCAGAAACCATTTAGAGTGTTGGTTACCTTTAATTAGTTGAGCACTTCCTTGTCCTGGCGTAGACAGGGTATAGAGGGCAGTCATTGAGTAAGTCTCAATGTTGCTTCTTATGGTGAACTCCCTGTAAATTTTGTTGAGTTGGGGATGTTCAAGTTTCCGAAGCATAGATCAAATTGCCAGTATTAAACAGAACCATGCATACTTTTTGGTTGCACTGTGTTACCTGTCTCCTGGTACATATTTTATTTTTTTCAATTATTAAGTCTCACTGAAAGATAAGTGGTGTAACATGGGTGAAAGGATGAGTAAACAATACAAGTACTGGACCGAGTGGTTAAGAATTTGACCCTTGTTGGAATTGTTCTCATTATGGTCCTGCTATCAGTGAAATTTCCTTCGATGCATATCAATCTCAAGTTCTTACAATTTTCTTGTTGTGCTGTTTTAGGTGGTCCACAAGCAGCCTGTGTTGGTTGTGCTGGTTTTGCTGCATTTTCAGTGCTGATAGAGAAGTTTTTGGATAGACATGATTGAATTTGAGGGCATTGCTATGTTGCCCCATTTTTGCAGACTAAAAGTACGACAGATCAGTAGAAGAGAAATAGCATCTTGGCCTGCAGTAATACAGATGTTTTTGCTTAGATTCAACTTTAGCCATTGTTATTATTATTTATCCCCGTTTATGAAGGGATGTACCAGCTAAATTACAAAGCCAATCATTTTGTATTATGTTATTCTGTTGACTGCAGTTCCAGTTTCATAATTTCAACAGAGGATATGTGACTGAGGAAATTGAATGGATTATAGAGAACGTTTGCTGCAAGATTCAAATAAATAGGTAGAAGGGAATTTCTTAGACTGGTAATGGTAATGAATTTTTTTTATTCGATTGACGAGAGAGGGGAATTGAACTTGAGATTTCTTCTTTCCATCGGAGTATAAGTAGTTATTGCGAGAGAATATTTATGTCTTTCATCGAAAAAAATTCGGGTGAGAATTTCCTTATCACATGGTACGATGAATGTCAAGCAATGACCAGTTATAACATAACATATGTTTAACACACCCTATGGCACGTGACAAGGAAGATCCACCCTATCAATAGTTGAGAGTGACTCGCGTGCACAAGTAATTGAATTTCTACCGTGAAGAAATTTTTATTTTTTATAAATTTATTGAAACGTATTCTAAAAAAAATGTGTCAAATTAAATTTTAGGTGCAATAGTAGATCATGATAATGTGTCCGCCTCTTAGCATCCGAGTTTAAATTCCCCTCCTCATTAATTAGAGTAGTTTAGAATATTATCGATTCCTCAAAATAAAAAATAAAATATTAGACATGGGCATCGAAGTTCTTTTGGGCTTATCTTAGAAGGTTCTCCGACGTGGCCCAAATCCAACTGGTCACCAGCAACAAGTAACTGAAGAGCTCTCCTCGCGGAAGAGGTACTAACTAGGATAATATGTCGAAGACAGGTGAGGTCGTATGCGTTACCGGTGGAAGTGGCTGCATTGGATCATGGGTCGTCCGCCTCCTCCTCGACCGTAATTACACCGTCCATGCCACCGTCAAAGATCTCAGTTAGTTTATCCTTTGCCTTTTCCATTTATCTACACAACTGCCATTTCCTTGCTGTTCAGTCTGAAACGTCTTCGTGTCGTTTTTGTTGCAGAGGACGAGGGTGAGACGAAGCATCTAGAAGCCCTAGAAGGAGCATCGACGCGTCTCCGTCTCTTCCAGATCGACCTCCTCGACTACAACTCCATCTTCGCCGCCATCAATGGCTGCTCCGGCGTCTTCCACCTCGCCTCTCCTTGCATCATCGATCAAGTCCAAGACCCTGAGGTTGCTTCATCTTCACAAAAACGCCATAAAAGAAGCTCAGTTCTTTGTAATTATGATTATATTTAGATGAAATTGTTGTGCTTTTTGTTATACAGAAGGAGCTTCTGGACCCGGCGATCAAAGGAACGCTTAATGTTCTGACGGCAGCGAAGCAGTCTGGGGTCAGGCGAGTGGTGCTGACATCCTCCAACTCCGCCATCATTCCCAGCCCTCGCTGGCCGTCCGATAAGATCAAGGGTGAGGATTGCTGGACCGATATTGACTACTGCAAGCAGAAGGGAGTAAGTTACTGAGTGCCTAAGTTCTTAGTTATTATAGTTTGAAATTTTGAAAATTGGGGACCGTGATGTGATGCTGATTGTGTATGGTGTTTGGTTAGTTGTGGTATTCATTGTCGAAAACTTTGGCGGAGAAAGCTGCGTGGGAATTTGCCAAGGAGAAGGGATTGGATGTGGTTGTGGTGAATCCTGGCACCGTGTTGGGCGATGTCATTTCGCCCAGGCTCAATTCTAGCATGGTGACGCTAGTGCGCCTTCTTGAGGGTATTGTTCTCTGCACATTTGTGTTTGAATATCTTCTAGCATTGCACCTAGAAGTAGATTGTTGACTCCATCCAATTCTCATATGTGCAGTCTTATTTGAATACTCTATTATTGTGTAATGTTCTGTTGCCTGATAGTTTTCCATGTTACGTTGCCAAATTGTTGATCGAAATCATACATTCAGATCAGACATAGTTTTGCATTTGATTGACAGTTTGTTTGATAACATAACATCTCTATAGTAAGAGAACATTTCCCATTTATTATTTGTGGTAACATGAGACTAAGGTGACCACGTTCTTATTGAGGCTGTAGTTGGTAGATGAACCAGGAAGCAGGTGGACATTAGACATTTTCTGAAAAGACATTTCTGCTAAAGAAAGGTTTGAGTTTGGTGTTTAAAATCTTGAAGTATTTCTTCATTTATAATACTTGAGTTTGTTTGAAATTTTTTGCTTAGTTAATCCCCAAGTTTGGAGAAGGTAGATTGCATGAGAATGAGTGTGTGTGGCAATAGAGGAATCCTTTTGCACCTCTTTGCTAGCAAGCAAATACTTGGCTCCTTCTTTCCTGCAAATCACCCTTTCACATGTGTGCAGAATTTATTTTTATTTTTCTTTCTTTTGAGCGTTTAATGAGTTATCTTTGCACACGAGTGAAGCTGTGATTCGCAAGTACAGAGGACTGGCTTCGTCCAGATAAGAAGCCAAGCAGAGTCCCTGCTAGCATATGTTTCTCTTTAAGTTTGATAGTTTATGTCATTAAAGGGTCGGTTTTTGGTTTCCTTAAATTGTTTATCCATGTCACCTTATCTCTTCTCCTGGTTAGTGGAGGACTGGACAGAAGGGTAATGGCCCTAGAAACATCATGGCTGAAGTAACAAGGAAAATCGATCAACCTTAAAAAGAAAAAGAATTGACAATATCCTTGTCAATCTTTGCTGCAGGCTGCACTGAAACATACGAGAACATCTTTATGGGAGCTGTGCATTTTAAAGATGTAGCTCTTGCACACATTTTAGTGTATGAGAACAAATCGGCCACTGGTAGACACCTGTGCGTTGAAGCTATATCACATTATGGTGACTTCGTGGCCAAGGTAGCTGAACTTTACCCTGAGTACAAGGTTCCGAGGTAAATTCCAGTCCTTAGACACCTGTAAAGTGGTTTTGCAACTGAATCTATGTGCATATATATATATATATATATATATATTTGACCATAACTATGTGCATATCTTAAGTTTAGGAGTTTGGTTTCCTGATAACAACAATAAGCATCAGAACGTCAAATATGCAGTATTGTGAAACTGATACCCTATGTTATAATTGATAGCAAAACAACAGATGATCAAGCTGAACCTCATCATAACACAGCTACAGCTCATTGTACTGAATTATGTTCTCACAAATGGTTCTAACTGATTGTATTTAGTTAGACAGGTTGAGTGATTTTAGGGATTAGTCTGTAACTGTATTGCTAAAGCTTACTATAAATACTTGTAAATCCTTCTCCATAAATTCATGAGAGAAAATCTGTTATTTTACAATAATTATTGTCAAGACATCCACTGCTTCCAGTACTCCTTTTACAGTCATTTAATGAACATATGGCTTTGAAATTGCTGAAGCTATTAATACGTTTATTATTGTGCAGTTTGCCGAAGGATACCCAACCCGGGTTGCTGAGGGAAAAAAATGGAGCGAAGAAGCTAATGAACTTGGGTTTGGAGTTCATTCCCATGGATCAAATCATCAAGGATGCTGTTGAGAGCCTAAAGAGCAAGGGATTTATTTCATAAACGAAACTGAAGGATATGAAACTTATGAGGAACCTACTTATTGTAGAAGTGGTGAGGACATGCAACCTAAATGATATAGTTAATGTGTTGTGTTTAATATTATGTACCAGTCATGCCTCCATGCAATCTGTATATGAATAAATAAGCAACATTTGAATGTTCATAATCTGTTCTGCTGAAGTATTTGCTTAAAATTAAAAGTTAACGTAGTCCCAAACTCAATTCTCATTTACTGGCTCAAGGTGCAGCGGATGGTGAAAAGCTACAATTTTTATTTATTTTTGTATTCACAAACATTAAGCTAATAAGGCAAAGACATTAAATTCATCGTACTTGTAACTCAAGCGATTATGAGCGCAAATATGAATTTTTGAGCAAAACTTATTCTCATGGGAAAAAGATTCCAAGATTAAGACCTAGATCCCAAGTTTTTCAATGTTGCTGGCCTAGACAGGGTATAGAGGGCAGTCATTGAGTAAGTCTCAATGTTGCTTCTTATGGTGAACTCCCTGTAAATTTTGTTGGGTTGGGGATGTTCAATTTTCCGAAGCATAGATCAAATTGCCAGTATTAAACAGCACCATGCATACTTTTTGGTTGCACTGTGTTACCTGTCTCCTGGTACATGTTTTATTTTTTTCAATTATTAAGTCTCACTGAAAGATAAGTGGTATAACATGGGTGAAAGGATGAGTAAACAATACAAGTACCGGACCGAGTGGTTAAGAATTTGACCCTTGTTGGAATTGTTCTCATTATGGTCCTGCTATCAGTGAAATTTCCTTCGATGCATATCAATCTCAGGTTCTTACAATTTTCTTCTTGTGCTGTTTTAGGCGGTCCGCAAGCAGCCTGTGTTGGTTGTGCTGGTTTTGCTGCATTTTCAGTGCTGATAGAGAAGTTTTTGGATAGACATGATTGAATTTGAGGGCATTGCTATGTTGCCCCATTTTTGCAGACTAAAAGTACACAGATCAGTAGAAGAGACATAGCATCTTGGCCTGCAGTAATACAGATGTTTTTGCTTGGATTCAACTTCAGCCCTTGTTATTATTATTTATCCCCGTTGATAAAGGGATGTACCAGCTAAATTACAAAGCCAATCATTTTGTATTATGTTATTCTGTTGACTGCAGTTTCAGTTTCATAATTTCAACACAGGATATGTAACTGAGGAAATTGAATGGATTATAGAGAATGTTTGCTGCAAGATTCAAATAAATAGGTAGAAGGGAATTTCTTGTTCCATTGTTGTATTAATACCACAATACAATACGAGACTGGTAATGATAATGAATTTTTTTTCTCCAATTGACGAGAGAGGGGATTCGAACTTGAAATTTCTTCTTTCCATCGGAATATAAGTAGTTATTGCGAGAGAAAATTTATGTCTTTGATAGGAACAACTCGGGTGAGAATTTCCTTATAACATGGCAGGATGAACGTCAAGCACTAACTAGTTATAACATAACAAGTGTTTATAACACACTATAGCACGTGACAAGGAAGATCCGCCCTATCAATAATTGAGAGTCACTCGCATGCATAAGTAATTGAATTTCTACCGTGAAAGTAAATTTTTTTTAAAATTTATTGTAACTTATTCTTAAAAAATATCAGTGTCAAATTAAATTTTAGGCGCAATAGTGGATCATGGTAATGAGTCCGTCTCTTGGCATCCGAGTTTCAATCCCTCTTACCATAAATTAGAGTTAGTTTAGAATATGAATAATACTAGTCTTACCACATTTTTTATACCACAATTTTATACCACATGATGTGGCAGCTGATGTGTATATACCACATCATGTAAAATACTAGTTTTTGTTTTTCTAATTTTATTTATTAAAATATACTTCATTCATTTAATTGATGTGGCATATGCCACATCATGTGGTATAGAAATGTGGGATAATAATGTGGTAAGTGTAACATTACTCTTAGAATATTATCCATTCTTCAAAATAAAAAAATAAAATATTAGACATGGGCATCGAAGTTCTTTTGGGCATGTCTTAGAAGGTTCTCCGACGTGGCCCAAATCCAACTGGTCACCAGCAACAAGTAGCTGAAGTAACTGTAACCAAGCAAAGCTCTCCTTCCGGAAGAGGTACTAACTAGGATAATATGTCGATGACAGGTGAGGTCGTATGCGTTACCGGTGGAAGTGGCTGTATTGGATCATGGGTCGTCTGCCTCCTCCTCGACCGTAATTACACCGTCCATGCCACCGTCAAAGATCTCAGTTAGTTTACGCTTTGCCTATTCCATTTATCTACACAACTGACATTTCCTTGCTGTTCAGTCTGAAACGTCGTCGTGTCGTTTTTGTTGCAGAGGACGAGGGTGAGACGAAGCATCTAGAAGCCCTAGAAGGAGCAGCGACGCGTCTCCGTCTCTTCCAGATCGACCTCCTCGACTATAACTCCATCTTCGCCGCCATCAATGGCTGCTCCGGCGTCTTCCACCTCGCCTCTCCTTGCATCATCGATCAAGTCCAAGACCCTGAGGTTGCTTCATCTTCACAAAAACGCCATAAAAGAAGCTCAGTTCTTTGTAATTATGATTATATTTAGATGAAATTGTTGTGCTTTTTGTTATACAGAAGGAGCTTCTGGACCCGGCGATCAAAGGAACGCTTAATGTTCTGACGGCAGCGAAGCAGTCTGGGGTCAGGCGAGTGGTGCTGACATCCTCCAACTCCGCCATCATTCCCAGCCCTCGCTGGCCGTCCGATAAGATCAAGGGTGAGGATTGCTGGACCGATATTGACTACTGCAAGCAGAAGGGAGTGAGTTACTGAGTGCCTAAGTTCCTTGTTATTATGGTTCGGAATTTTGAAAATTGGGGACTGTGATGTGATGCTGATTGTGTATGGTGTTTGGTTAGTTGTGGTATCCATTGTCGAAAACTTTGGCGGAGAAAGCTGCGTGGGAATTTGCCAAGGAGAAGGGATTGGATGTGGTTGTGGTGAATCCTGGCACCGTGATGGGCGATGTCATTTCGCCCAGGCTCAATTGTAGCATGGTGATGCTATTGCGCCTTCTTGAGGGTATTGTTCTCTGCACATTTGTGTTTGAATATCTTCTAGCATTGCACCTAGAAGTAGATTGTTGACTCCATCCACTTCTCATATGTGCAGTCTTATTTGAATACTCTATTATTGTGTAATGTTCTGTTGCCTGATAGTTTGCCATGTTATGTTGCCAAATTATTGATCAAAATCATACATTCAGATCAGACATAGTTTTGCATTTGATTGACAGTTTGTTTGATGACATAACATCTCTATAGTAAGAGAACATTTCCCATTTATTATTTGTGGTAACATGAGACTAAGGTGACCACGTTCTTATTGAGGCCGTTGTTGGTAGATGAACCAGGAAGCAGGTGGACATTAGACATTTTCTGAAAAGACATTTCTGCTAAAAAAAGGTTTGAGTTTGGTGTTTAAAATCTTGAAGTATTTCTTCATTTATAATACTTGAGTTTGTTTGAAATTTTTTGCTTAGTTAATCCCCAAGTTTGGAGAAGGTAGATTGCATGAGAATGAGTGTGTGTGGCAATAGAGGAATCCTTTTGCACCTCTTTGCTAGCAAGCAAATACTTGGCTCCTTCTTTCCTGCAAATCACCCTTTCACATGTGTGCAGAATTTATTTTTATTTTTCTTTCTTTTGAGCGTTTAATGAGTTATCTTTGCACACGAGTGAAGCTGTGATTCGCAAGTACAGAGGACTGGCTTCGTCCAGATAAGAAGCCAAGCAGAGTCCCTGCTAGCATATGTTTCTCTTTAAGTTTGATAGTTTATGTCATTAAAGGGTCGGTTTTTGGTTTCCTTAAATTGTTTATCCATGTCACCTTATCTCTTCTCCTGGTTAGTGGAGGACTGGACAGAAGGGTAATGGCCCTAGAAACATCATGGCTGAAGTAACAAGGAAAATCGATCAACCTTAAAAAGAAAAAGAATTGACAATATCCTTGTCAATCTTTGCTGCAGGCTGCACTGAAACGTATGAGAACTTCTTTATGGGATCTGTGCATTTTAAAGATGTAGCTCTTGCACACATTTTAGTGTATGAGAACAAATCGGCCACTGGTAGACACCTGTGCGTTGAAGCTATATCACATTATGGTGACTTCGTGGCCAAGGTAGCTGAACTTTACCCTGAGTACAAGGTTCCGAGGTAAATTCCAGTCCTTAGACACCTGTAAAGTGGTTTTGCAACTGAATCTATGTGCATATATATATATATATATATATTTGGCCATAACTATGTGCATATCTTAAGTTTAGGAGTTTGGTTTCCTGATAACAACAATAAGCATCAGAACGTCAAATATGCAGTATTGTGAAACTGATACCCTATGTTATAATTGATAGCAAAACAACAGATGATCAAGCTGAACCTCATCATAACACAGCTACAGCTCATTGTACTGAATTATGTTCTCACAAATGGTTCTAACTGATTGTATTTAGTTAGACAGGTTGAGTGATTTTAGGGATTAGTCTGTAACTGTATCGCTAAAGCTTACTATAAATACTTGTAAATCCTTCTCCATAAATTCATGAGAGAAAATCTGTTATTTTACAATAATTATTGTCAAGACATCCAATGCTTCATTGCAACTTCTTTATCTGCCAGTACTCCTTTTACAGTCATTTCATGAACATATGGCTTTGAAATTGCTGAAGCTATTAATACGTTTATTATTGTGCAGTTTGCCGAAGGATACCCAACCCGGGTTGCTGAGGGAAAAAAATGGAGCGAAGAAGCTAATGAACTTGGGTTTGGAGTTCATTCCCATGGATCAAATCATCAAGGATGCTGTTGAGAGCCTAAAGAGCAAGGGATTTATTTCATAAACGAAACTGAAGGATATGAAACTTATGAGGAACCTACTTATTGTAGAAGTGGTGAGGACATGCAACCTAAATGATATAGTTAATGTATTGTGTTTAATATTATGTACCAGTCATGCCTCCATGCAATCTGTATATGAATAAATAAGCAACATTTGAATGTTCATAATCTGTTCTGCTGAAGTATTTGCTTAAAATTAAAAGTTAACGTAGTCCCAAACTCAATTCTCATTTACTGGCTCAAGGTGCAGCGGATGGTGAAAAGCTACAATTTTTATTTATTTTCGTATTCACAAACATTAAGCTAATAAGGCAAAGACATTAAATTCATCGTACTTGTAACTCAAGCGATTATGAGCGCAAATTTGAATTTTTGAGCAAAACTTATTCTCATGGGAAAAAGATTCCAAGATTAAGACCTAGATCCCAAGTTTTTCAATGTTGCTGGCGTAGACAGAGTATAGAGGGCAGGCATTGAGTAAGTCTCAATGTTGCTTCTTAGAGCATTTCCTGCAATGCAGGCTGGGCTCGGGCTGGGGGGGGTTTGGGTACTGTAGGCGTTTCCAGCTACAAAATGGAGCCCGAGCAAGAGGTGGGGGCCAGCAGCCTGGGCTAGCCCGAGGTGGGAAGTAAATGTCTTTGTCCTTTTACTTTTATTTATTTTTATATTACTCCATTTACTTAAGTTTACAATGTAAATAAGGAAGTACCCCCCATTTGGATTCAAATAAAAATACTAGAAAATCAAATTCCCACCAAATCAAAATATGAAAATTCAGTTTTAGCGCAAAATACGATTTAGGCTAAAAATGATGGCTCATTAAGTCAATATATACTTCATACTAAAATC